GTTTCACCGTGTTAGCCAGGATGGTCTCAATCTCCTGACCTCATGATCCGCCAGCCTTGGCCTCCCAAAGTGCTGGTATTGTACACAGGCACCACTGTGCCTGGCCTACAAAACATTTTTTAAAAAATTAGCTAGGCATGGTGGCACAAGCCTATAGACCCAGCTACTGGGGAGGCTGAGGTGGGAGGATTGCATGAGCCCCGGAGATTGAGGCTACAGTGAGCCATGATCACACCACTGCACTCCAACCTGAGTGACACAGCGAGACCCTGTCTAAAAAAAAATCAAAATAAATGGGTGGTGTCACCAAGATGACTTCTGGAAAGAGCCTGAGACTTAGAATTTTCTGAAGAAAACAGAGAAAAGAAAAGCTAGGAGTTAGGTGTGTAAGGTGGCAAAGGGCGGAGGGTTTGTCCGGGTTAGGAAAGCTACCTGATAGAAGCAGCAAGCACAGTGAGGGCAGACCGGTGGTACCTTGTGTCTTGAGGCATTGTCTTTCCCTGGATTCCAGAGCAGCTCTCCTACCTGTGTCCTAAGGAGTGCCCTCACATTGTCTTTCAAGCCATCTCGGGACCCCTGGCTGCAGCCACTGCCTCCATCCTCACCAATCCCATGGATGTTATACGAACCCGTGTGCAGGTAAGACTGGCCACTTCCCTCACCCTTCTCCTGGAGAAGCCATTAGAAGCATGACCTTCGAGCCCTCTAATGTTGCCCTGACCTCTTTGTGTCCTAGCCCTCTAGTCCAGATGTTCTCCTGAACATCTAAGCCCCTTCTTTGTGCTTAGAATCTACAGAAACCAGCCCATGGCTGGGCGTGGTAGCTCATGCCTGTAATCCCAGCACTTTGGGAGGCCGAGGCGGGCAGATCACCTGAGGCCAGGAGTTCAAGACAAGCCTGGCCAACATGGTGAAACCCCGTCTCTACTAAAAATAAAAAATTAGCTGGGTGTGGTGGTGGGTGCCTGTAGTCCTAGCTACTCAGGAGGCTGAGGCAGGAGAATCACTTAAACCTGGAGGCGGAGGTTGCAGTGAGCCGAGATTGTCCCACTGCACTCCACCGTGGGTGACTGAGCGAGACTCTGTCTGAAAAAAAATGTTAGCCTAGCACTTAAAGTACCTGGAATGCTTCTGACTCTGTCTACCACCTACATACCTCTCCTCTATCACATGCCCGTGCCATAGCCTGTCAACAATTCTTTCCTTTACCTTGCAGCTTTGTAGTTATAAGAAATATTGATTTCAGTTAATTCATAAGTCTGTCTGGTTTTTCCACTAGGTAATAAGTTCTCTACGGATTATGAGGGTGACTGTTCTTAAATGGGTGTGACAGATTGTATGGTGTGGGTGCAGCAAAACCGCCCTTAGTAATGCTTGTCTTCAGTCAGCTTAAAGACTGTTACACAGTACCTAGACCAAGGAAATAGAATCTGAGTGATGATATACAATGTGCAAATAGTAGGTATTGCCATATAAATTTTTTTTTTTTGAGATGGAGTTTTGCTCTTGTCACCCAGGCTGGAGTGCAGTGGTACGATCTCGGCACACTGCAACCTCCGCCTCCTGGGTTCAAGCGATTCTCCTGCCTAAGCCTCCGAAGTAGCTGGGATTACAGGTGCCCTCCACCACGCCCAGCTAATTTTTGTATTTTTGGTAGAGATGGGGTTTCACCATGTTGGCCAGGCTGGTCTCCAACTCCTGACCTCAGATGATCCACCCACCTCGGCCTCCCAAAGTGCTGGGATTATAGGCGTGAGACACCCTGCCTAGCCTCCGTATAAAGTTTTATATCTGATTCATGGAGAATCAGACATAGTGGAGAATGAAAGATGTACAAGAGAGTGAAGTCATTGGGTTATGGTGAGGGGAGGAGGGAAGGAAAATAAGCTTAACAGGTTGGGGATAAGATCAGCTTTCCTAGTACCAGGATGTTGGGAAGGAGATAGGTAACAAATACAGGTATTTTTGTGCCCAGGAAAGAGTGCCCCCCTCCATTTGAAAATGAATACACTGGCATCTGGTTGGTTTGCAAATAATAAAGTACACAGGGTCAGTCCTCATTTTTTCCTGAGCCTTGTTCTGGGTGTTCTAGGAGGAGATCCAAGGGAAAGGACAGGTCTCTACTTTGAGGAGCTTCCAGGCTGGAAAGACACTGAGGCATAGCTGAAAAAGTCCTTGACATGGCTCTGGATAAAGTTGAAGGGTTATGGAAGCAGAGATGGTCACATGAGAGAGTACTGGAGAGGAAGAAGGGAGTGTGGAGGAGGTGCTGAAGGAGGCAGGGCGGAAGAGGGAGATGTTCGTAGCCATGGCTGGGATATCTTGTGAAGGTCATACCATATAAGGGGAGGTATGAACAAGGAGTGCGTCTGTCCTGTATTGGCCGAGGGGCTGAGGGGTGGTTTCTAAAGGTATAGTTTAGGGGTGGGGGGGGGGGTGTGGGACTGTTGAGAAAGAAGAGAGAAGTGATTCCTGCTTGACCAGGCTTTCAGGGTGGTAGGGAAGATGTCTATATTCGTTCATGGGGTGTGTGAAGAAAGATGGTAGAGATGGAGAGGAAGATTCTAGCTCTGGGGCTTCAAGGGATTGAGATGATCAGAATCAAAATCACAGACTAGCACAGCTGCAGAGGTTCTTAGAGAGGATTTAACCCAGCCTCCCTGAGACCAAAGAGCAGCATCCAGTTCAGAGATTCATGGCTACATAGCTTATCTCATGATATCAGTGATAGCTAACATATATTGTACGCTTACTGTCTGCCACCACTTTTGTTAGTATTTATGAATATTATTTTCTTTCTTGCTTATAATAACCTTGTGGTGCAGGTACTGTTATCACTGTTGTATATTTGAGGAAATGGGAGCACAAAGAGTTAAGTAAATTACCCAAGGCTATGTTGTTAGTAGGCTGAGGAGCAGAATTCAAACTCTGGCAGTCAGGCCCCAGGACTCATACTAAATCACTGTGCTGTACCATCCCTCACAAGCAGAGTCCACTCCTTCCAACATCCAAGTTGGCTCTCCGCACTTTAGCCAAAGACAGAGGGAGATTGAGCAGAGGGGCTCTGACTACAGACAATGGCCCCTCCACTGTGTTGACTTTTCCAGGTTGAGGGCAAGAACTCCATCATCCTGACCTTTAGACAGCTGATGGCAGAAGAAGGGCCTTGGGGCCTCATGAAGGGCCTCTCGGCCAGAATTATCTCAGCCACACCTTCCACCATTGTCATTGTGGTGGGCTACGAGAGCCTCAAGAAACTCAGCCTCCGACCTGAGCTGGTGGACTCGAGACACTGGTAACCATCGGTGGGGAGAGGAGCCTGCTGTTTTCTACACTACTGTGGGTCAGGGACAGAGTGGAGAGGACAGCACCCTCTCCAAATGCCCCCACCACACACCCAGCCCTGCCCTGGGCCAGGTGGCCTATCTGGGATAGGGATAGAGACTTTGAACTGCTCTTGCTGACGAGGCTCCATGCCTGGATCCCTTGCCCCTACTATTTAAAATTCTCTTCTGAGCTGGGCTCCCTCACTCAGTCCCTATATTCGATACTGGCCTAAAGACCCCACCCTCCACCCTGCCAGCCCTTCTGGCTTCCCCCTCCATCTGTGTCCCTGCGACCCTGAGAAGAGCTGTACATAGAGCTTGCTTACTACCACTGGTTCTTCCTCTTGGGCTTTCAGCCCAGACTCCAAGCTGCTGCTATCACCCCTCTCCCCTTCAACTCTTAGCCTTGCTTATTTTTATTTTGGGACTGAGCTGCCAGCTAGATGACTCTGCTTTTCCCTGCACTTGGGGCTACGGTGCCAGGCACTTATTTGCACAAGGAGCAGGAGCAGCAAAAATCTCTGGTTCTCCAGAGCACTCGTCCTCTCTTTGGAGGGGTTATTAGATTGGGGAGAAATGTTGATACTTTATTTTGTGTGTGCGTGTTTGTGTTTTTTAACATCTGTGAACCAGGCTACTAGTCCTGCTAAAGCGCCAATCCTGCTGTCAGAGCCCACCCCTTCCTAAGACAGGTAGAAAAATGTAATGTAGCATTTTCCTCAATTCAGTTCCCTGTCCCTTCAGTCTCAGGAACCCTAGGAGAGTCTAAGCTGGGGTGTCCCCTGGCCCAAAGGACTCCCGTGGTGGGCACACTTCTGAGTGGATCAGGCTGTCTTGGGTGCACTGGACTTGGGCACTACCTTGAAAAGTCAGGTTGAGAAAGTAGTTGATGTAGAAGACAACAGGAGGGCACGTGTTCCCCAGCACATCCACCCAGGCCAGCGGAGCCAAACCTAGGAGAGGGCAGTAGAGATTCCCTGCCCCAGTCAGCCATGACATACACGTAAATACCCCAATCACTCAGACTCGTGGCAACACATGTCTCACAGTGGGGATCTCTTTAAGTTCCACATCACTGGATGTGAAGTCATCCCAGCCATGGTACCCTGTGGAGGGATGCTGGAAGAACATAAAGAGCAGTTCAGGAAGTCACCCGATACCAGGACCCCTGCATTTACCAGCCTGATACTGCCAAGATTATCTGATTATTTCCTCAGGAGATAGGAGAGGGGTGCTCCTTCTTCCCTGCCTCATCCTCCCTACTGCTACTCCTTCCAAGCCTGTGATGCAGGTAGAGAGGTGCAGCAAATAGACAAGAAGGCATGTCAAACCCTGCATTTCTACCTGAGACATTTGGCTTGGACGGTCCTCCAAACCCTATTGGTCCCACCCCCTGGGAAAGGCCATGGTGCCAATTTGCAAGGTGCTAGCTACCTGAAGCCTTGATATTTCTTATGGCTGCTGCACATTCTTCCACCTTGGCCAGAACAGGTTCAGAAAACCGTTTCTCTACCTTCACTACCACCGCTGCCCATCTTGATCTCTCTGAGGGTTTTCCCCATTCACTTGATTTTATTTTCCCCCTGCACTTTGTGAAGAGAGGCCTCCAGTTTCTGTCCAGGAATGTTCACATCCAAAGGGTTGGACCCACTGATCGTTCTGAATCTTCTGCCCCTCCTCACCGCTTTACCCTGAGAACCACAAGAACCACAAATACAATGGAGCAGTGGGCCCCTCCCATCTCTTTAAGCTCATCCTAAGGAAACCTCTGGAGGTTGGTTTTTGTCAGCTCCAAGGCTTCCTCCCCTAGAGACTGGTCCCAGTCCTTCCCCCTCCATGGCACAGTGGGGAAAGTGTCAGTAGGGAAGGTGTCACGGACAGGAGGTAGGATCCTGCCGTTGGCGTCTTAGTGTGTTTCTCCCCCGAGACTTTCCTTGTTTTGTCTTGTGCAGTATTTTACCACACGCACACGCACACGCACACGCACACACACACACCCCTGCTGGCGTCTTAGTGTGTTTCTCCCCCGAGACTTTCCTTGTTTTGTCTTGTGCAGTATTTTACAACGCACACGCGCACACACACACACACACACACACACACAGCAGTTTTAAGGGTGATGTGTGTATAATTAAAAGGACCCTTGGCCCATACTTTCCTAATTCTTTAGGGACTGGGATTGGTTTGATTGAAATTTGTTTTGGTGGGGTTGGGACGGTGGACTTCCATTCTCCCTGGAGTCCATAACAGAATCTTGGATGTATTGGTTGGTAACTAAAACTAAAACTCTGGGAGACTGGCCAAGGCGGGAGACCTGATGGGAGCATTGAGGAACAAGGGAACGAAAAGGCAGACTCTCTGAACATTTGATAAAATGGACTCTTGTGAACATTAACAGTGAATATTCACTGTTGCACTGTACGAAGTCTCTGAAATGTAATTAAAAGTTTTTACTGAGCCCCCGAGCTTCGGCTTGCGCGTATTTTTCGGGTCGCGGACATCCCACCGCGCGTAGCCACGCCTTCCCGCGTCCCTCAGCCTCCGGCAACTTCCCAACCCCGCCCTGCTCGGTGACAGACATTCTGCCGCTTCCAATCGGAGGCGCCCGTCGTGGGAGTGGCCAATCGGGGGCTTCGGAGGACGGGGAGGCCGGACCAGTTAGACTTGGCGGTTCAACTTCAACATGGCCGAAGCAAGCAGCGCCTATCTAGGCGGTGGCTGTGAGGAAAAAAGGCATGAGGAATTGTCTCCGGAATCGGTGCCACCCGGCGCTACCATTTCGAGGGTGAAGCTCCTCGACACCATGGTGGACACTTTTCTTCAGAAGCTGGTCGCCGCCGGGAGGTAAAGTGGAAGAGCCGCAGTAGGAGGGTTTGTCTGCACGGAAGGTCAAATCCCGCGATATCAGGACGGCCGCTGACCGGCTTGCGATCACGTGGGTCTGCGGCGGGGGCGGGGCAGTCGGATCAGAAGACCCTGTCAAATCCTGAGCCGGAGGTGTCAGGGTATTCACGCACCGATAACCTGTAGCGGACCGGGATAGCTAGCTACTTCTTCCAGGAAGTCCCATTTTCACTAAAACTTAAGGTGATTGGGAGGAAAGATAGAGCCTTTGCAAATTAGAGCAGGGTTTGTTTTATTTTTATTTATTATTATTTTTGAGACAGGGCCTTGCGCTGTCGCTCAGGCTGGAGTGCAGTGACGTGATCACTGCAGCCTCGACCTGGGCTCAAGCGATCTTCCCGCCCCAGCCTCCCAAGTAACCGGGACTACAGGCTCGGGCTACCGCGCCCGGCTACAGATCATGGTTTAAATCCCGGCCCACGACTACCTTTGTGAGCAAGGCATAAGCCCCCTGTCCCTCGTCGGCTTCTCATCAGTCAAGTGGCAACAATAGTATCTTTCTCATTTTCGAGAATGAAATGAGTAAATATACCTAAGGCGCCTGGGACAGGACCTGCCACTAGAAAGATTTGTTATCTATTATGGGAATATCTTCTTCACTGGGAGATTGCCGGGACTAGATGTATTACCATAAAAGGAAACAATTTTCCTGTCTCGACTTCTACATAATGTATCTGATTCAAGAGTTTTGCCCATGATCCCAGCACCCCAGCACATCAGTGTTGAAATGCTTCCAGGAGTTTGGTACCCTGACCACAGCCTCTCCTCCTCTAGCCCTCTCTATTCCCACTTCCCCGTTCTTTGGCTTCATCAGGACTCTCATCTTTTCCCAGTCCATCCCTCCTGGGTTCAGTACTTTACCTTTCCTACACGTTTTGATCTTTCTTTTCACTCATGACTCATCAAATATTTGAGTACCTTTTCTGTGTCAGGTGCTCGGGATACCATAAGGCAGACAGGCCCCTATCTTTTTGGAGCTTGCATTCAATGGGCAGAGGCACCAACAACTTTCATCACACAGCCTGGTAAGATAAGGCCAGCACAATGACTCATGCCTGTAATCCCAGTGCTTTGGGAGGCTGAGGCAGGAGGATCATTTGAGCCCAGGAGTTTGAGGCTTCCGTGAGTTATAATAGCCCCATTGCATTTCAGCCTAGGTGACAGAGCAAGACGCTGCCTTTAAAAAATAAAAAAATAAAAAATAGGACGGTTAGGGTGCCCATTCTGAGAGGTGACATTTCAGCTGAAACTTGAAGAATGAGAAGGAACCTTTTTTTTCTTTTTTTTTTTTTT